GGTTTTAGACCGAGAAAAGAAAGGATAACTATCCGCAAAGGTGGCCACAGGTCGTCCGAGGTCAACTTGGGTTCCGCTGGTTATCGCTGCTATCCAAATGAAGATTCGGGTCAATCCAGTGCGTTCAATAAGGAAAATGGCAAAGGAACACGGGATCAGTGACTTTACGGCACGGAAGATCGTAAAGGAAGATTGCGGGGCGAAGTTGAGGGCACGGAAAAAAAACTCACATGATTACCAATCGCATCCGGGAGCTACGAGTCGAACGGTGCAAGAAAATCTTGAACTTCCTTAAGCGAAAAAATCCGGTAATCCTGTTCACCGACGAGAGCATGTTTACCGTCGATCCCGTATCAAATTCCAGAACCGACCGGTATATTAGTTCTCTTCCGGTAAAAGACGTAGCCGACGAGCACAAGAACTTGTATCTGACCAAGCATCCTGCTAGCGTTATGGTGTTTGGATTGGTGGCTTCCGATGGCAAAAAAATGGACACGGTGTTCATTCCAGAAGACGACAAGGTCAACACGGAGGTCTACATCGGGATTTTAAGTAAGTATGTTCTTCCGTGGATCAAAGAACAGTACGGTCCGAAGCCAAATGTTGTATTTCAACAAGATGGGGCTCCGTGCCATACCTCGAACCGCACTCAGAAGTGGTTGCAGGAACATCTTCCGTTCTGGGCGAAGGATATGTGGCCGCCATCCAGCCCCGATCTTAATCCGCTGGATGACTCAATATGGCGCGTCATGAAGGCCAAGGCCTATTCTAAACGCCACCCGAGTACAGCAAGCCACAGACAAACATTGAACCGTACCTGGAGAGAAATGGATCCAGACTACATTATTAGAACCTGCCGTGCATTCCGGAAGCGTGTGGAGGCCGTAATTGCAGCAAGTGCAAACTCGATCGATGATTAACATAAATAGTTTAAGACTCTGAGAAACCCCCTTTGAATATTAAAAAAAACTCGAAACGAAATTCTTGAGAATTATTTTAATGTTGACATTGCTTAATGGTGCAAACATTATCACGCATACGGCAAAGAATTGATTTCCACTGCGACTAAATCCAGCATTCCTACTAAAATATCAAATGCTGTGCTTAATCATTTATTATTAGTACAGAGCAATAAGCAATGTCCGGTGATGATATCTGTTAATATGCTTATCTGTTAATATGCTTTTATAAGCGGGTTCAAATGCACTTTTGGTGAGCATAAACACTAATCTGGCAACACTAGTGTGCATCTTTCCAATGTGGTAAAGATCCAGATCAGCCCTGGGACCTGGTAGCCTAATTTAACTACCTCAAGGATTTGCCAAAGCCCAGGGAAGTTCCTGGCCCAGTTTGTTTAAAATAAAATAGTTCTAGTTCTAGTTCCAGCATCTTGAAGATTTGTTCAAACCCGAATTCTTCTCACAATAAAATTGTTAAAATATTTCAAAAACATGAAAAAAAAACTATTCACTACACCCTACCGGGGGATGTAAGATTCGCTTATAATTACGTGGGATTCATCATCAGAGGATGTTAGTGAAGACCGCATGAACCGAGGATGTGGTATACCTAGCTGCGGTCCAATGCAAGAAAATTCGAGACCGAAAAATGTAGAGTGATTAGTGAGGTAAATTAGTTATGTCGAAAAACATAGGAAACAGATTGCCGACTTGACTCGAACCACGAACGTTGCGATTATCAGACCTGTGCTTCTACATGAAGCGCTCATTTCCTCGCATACTCGACTTCATATGCTTTTTCTGCTGGAGAGATTCGAGGCAAGTGTGTGCGTCATTCTACAATGTTCTACAATGTGCGTCGTTCTACAAGCTTACTGGTATAGTCGAAAGCGTAGATAGAACACGAAATAAAAAAAGACAAAAAACATTACATCGCCTGCATGGTCAATTTATAATATTCGTTGCGATGTTCATGAACAGAGGATGTGAGGAAACGGAACTAATAATCATTGTAATAGATTTTTGGCTTGAGTGTATGTTTAAACCATGGAATTCCTTTAGTCAGAAATACCCTTAATTTATATCCAGAAATACATCTTCTACTATTGCACTGTGCAACAAATTTTTCTAGGACTGTTATTCCTTTGTAAATCCCCTCAGAATTCCCTTATAAATCTTCCTTCGGTATGTTCTCCAACAAATTCTCCTTGGAACTGTTTTCGTATTCAGATTTACCCGGAAGCTGCCGGAAGCTGCCGGAAGTCTGCCCTGTCGTAAGTCTCATCATCCATGATGAGACAAAGAAGCTTCCCACCGTATTTTGCCGTTCGTCACGATTTGGAGCCTTCTGCACTTTGCACGTATGCAGTCCCTCCCGGTCCTTGGCTCTCTGAACGAAAAACTTGGACATATTCAACTTTTTGGCCACATCCCTGACCGAAGCATTGGGATTCCGCCTAAACGCTTTCACGACACGCTTGTGTTTCTTATCACTAATATAACCGCATTTTGGCCGCATTTCTCCTTCTGTTCGATGCTCAGAGTTTCGTAGTAACGTTTAATCACATGACTTACCGTTGACTCCGAGTTGTTTTCCGATGTCCCGATGAGAGAGTTGAGGATTTTCCAGGTGCTTGCGCAAAATCAATTCGCGACGTTGCTTTTCGGGTGACGCCATTTTTTTCAACTTTCTAAAAACGGTATTGCCAAGCCGGAGGCGGTGAGTTCGATTCCCTGTCCGGTCGAGGGAATCTTTCGGGTTGGAAATTTTCTCGACTTCCCTGGGCAAAGAGTATCATTGTGCTTGCCATATAATATACAAATTCATGCATTGGTAATTGACATCGAAAGCTCTCAATTAATAACTGAGGAAGTGCATTTAGAACACTAAGTTGAGAGCACGCAATAAGCTAATATGCACTAAGCAATAAGCTTGAAATGCGAATAAGAAGAAGAAGACATTTATTTGTTTATTTTTTCTCAAAAATAACCTCAAAAACTTTGCGTGTATATTTTCCAAGAAAATTTTTATGTCATACTTAATTTCTATTTGATGTGACGTTTCCAAGCTACGATTTATTGGAAAAAAAATATGACTAGATTCAAAATGTTCGAATATGGATGATACCAGACAGAGCACGTGGAGCAACATCGTGCTGGAACCACGCTAATCTCATGCAGGCTTGTAGGGTGTGGCTCATTTTTCATAATCGCTCGGGGTCATGTTTCCCCATATGGAATATGATTAATGGGACTAATTATGGTTAATGCAAATTTTATTTTTAATATATGTCACCCCTCCTCCTTCTTAAAGAATTTCAAAATACTGAAGGGGCAATATTTGGTGTACTTTTAAATGCCACGAAAGAAACAATTTGGCATTCGTGGAGTGCACGTAGTGAAATTAGATAGAATTAAGCATTTCAATGTCAATTCTCCATACACGTTTGCATGATTTCCGTTTGTTGCGTCGTTATATGGAACAGCCTTAAAGTCACTATAATATAAAGCACTAACAATGTAAAAAACCCTGAATTCAATACTGCCCATACACGTTACTCGTAAGCTTCATCGTAAACGTCCGTGAAGTTTATAATAATCCGTTAAACTCCTTGTTCCATAATTTAGTAATGACTCGTACATAAAACACTTCTCCTTCAATTACTCACTATTTTCCCCCATTAAAAATAAGTGAATCGTGTAACATCCGCACCTTAGATGCAACAAATTCTAAACCACGTTTCATGGTTTACTGGGGTAGCCAGCTCGGTAAACACCTGTTAAGGTGCTATTTATTTTGGAGTAAGAGTAATCAAAAAGTTTTAACCGACGCTTCATTTTATATCACTATGAAAAGTCTTCATTCCAATTCTATTCACAGCAAGCTTAAATAAAGCGTACAAACAACTGCTTTTTTTTGAAAAATGTATCATTGAAAATTGCACCTTAAAGTGTGAACTTATATGCGTCGCTCTGTGCGTTTCATACCCACTTCGTAAATGGATTTCATAATTAATTCACCTTCCCCGACAAATGCAGCAGCACATCGTCGTTCGTCGTAGTCGTTGACAGGGAGGGTTTTTTGAAAAATTACTATGCTAATGACGGAGCGATCCAATTTTAAGCACTCTCCAAGTTCCAACCTCAAAAACAAACAGCCGTGCGCACACTCCTGCCACTCTCCACGCTACCCAACCATAGTAGGCGGTAGGTTATGAATAAAATATGATTCCCATATCAAGGCCTGCTGCTGATACTGCTACTGTACAATCCTGGAGTCCGGGATTGGAGGTCCCCACCACTTATGAATTTGTTTTGGTCTGCCTTTTAGATGAGCACGGAAACCTCATCAAATAGAACGGTCTCTCGCTGTGAGTGTGTGACTTACTGTGTTTGCTGCCCTGGGGAGCGTTTTCGTAAATGGGGGAAATTTCCCTTTTCTGCATAAAAAGCTTCTTGCAGGAGACGGCCAGGAGGTGTTTTTGTTGGCCACGTTCCAAAGGCTTTTCCGACGTTCGTCGTTTGAATTCGAATGGAAAATAGTGTTTGCATAAAAGCAGAATTTTCCGCTCCGTGGAAACCAATCGTTATATTTAAGCCAAGACTGCGATGCAGGGAAAGGAGATGTTTATGCGTACGTGTGTAATTTATTCCCAGAGGGGGTTGTAATTGGTTTACTTTTTGCTTCTCGATAGGGATGGGAATGGAAAACGTTCACCAGGTGAGTGCGAACGTGATTACGTAAAACCGTTTTCTCTCGATTTGATGCAATTTCTCGGTCTGGGTGGACGTGAGCATTCCTTGGATAAGGATTGCTACCTTGTCGGCGGTCAGGTCGCTTCTGTCGCGGGCAAGGTAATCTCGAACGTCAGAGAAAAATCCGCTGTCGGTTGCTCAAGTTTCGAGTACTGCAAATGGTGACATGCGCACTTGTGTCGTTCGAGCAGTTTGAGCCCGACTCACGTGTGTTGCACGGGATGCAAAATCAGCAGCAAGATTCCGACGAGCAGGAATGTTTCAGTCACTGTTACGAGTGCACTGCGTTCGGTCGGGTTTTTCCTCTGCTGGGAGCTTCGTGAGTGCGAATCGAAAAACGGTAGCAATCACATAACCATAGTAGGCGAGCGGTGCGCACGGTGAAAGAGTGGAGACGTTTTTTTTCCCGGTGAGGACTGTTGTTTTTATCGGGCTCTGTTATTTTTTGTCAGAGAAGTAGGCAGTGATGTTACGGCCGGTACATGATCACAGGTGACCCTCGGGGTAGAGTCCTGAATATTCAGACAATAGCCATTCGGTGAAGTGTTAATTTGTGTGACGTTCAATAAAAATGCGATGCATATGTACTGAATGTATTGTGTGAAATCGTCATCATCTTTGGATTGTGGCAGGTCTAGGCTCGGATGCTAATGGTGTGGGTAATATCCACACGAAAAAGGAAAATGTGGAAAAGTGAATGTAGAAAGAGGCTACTTCAGCAGGGAACGGAATACTTAATCTCTAAATTGTGTCACCAAGGAAATCGTAAACAGCTGAATTTATGTGCTTGAACGGAACAAACCAGACTTCTCGCTTTTAAAAGAAAGTTACCAGCATATTCTGACTCTCACAAAAGCTACAGACGAATGAAAACCCTCCTGTAATTGGGAACACGCAAGCTCCGTGTGCTACTTAATCGGGATGAGTTCGAACAAACATCGTGTAATAAGGATTACAGTTTACACCGTAAAGTCCTTCGCAGAAAATGTACTCGCCTGCTTTACAACAAACGGAAACTCGTTGGTGTCCAGCTAGTTTGAAACATTGTTGTTGAGGTTTCTTTTTTTTTCAAACCCAGGACTTAAGCTAATCTCGGTACTTTGGGCTCCCCTCTTGTGCCCATTGGGTCAAAGTCATAACCATAAATTAAGCATTCATTTATATGCTAAACACTGCTTCGTTTAGCTGTTTCCTCACCATCCACGTCCCCCGTGGGGGTTGGGAGCCGTCGTCCTGCGTGTGAATCTTTCTCTCATATGAACAAGTGTGTCTGATTGTTTGTGTGTGCTTGTGTGGAAACCTGAATAGCACTCTTACCCCCAATCAAAGGACGCTGAGCTGCAAGAAGACGAAGCAGGAAGAAGAAAATGCGAAAAACCGTCTGCTACTGCTGCCGCTGCTGGTTGGGTTGCAATAATCGTAAAAGTTGAATTGTTTTCAGCTTTAGCCGCACAGCCTCTTTTCAAAGCCCGAGAGTGGGTGTCGGTTTAGTTATTTTTCTTCTTGGTTGTGCTGTTTTGGGAGGGTGAAAATCAAGTGGTATTAAAAACCTACTTCACTTTCTCAAGTTTTTCAAAGCGAAAAAACGGAAGTGAACAAAAAGAACACTTTTCCGGAAGAGGAAGAAAGCACCAGAAAGAAGATGAAGAAGAAGCAGTGAGTAGTGTTGTCTATAGCACCTTTTACCCTGGAGAAAGTGTTGAGGAAAAACAACTACAGCAATGGTACTTCCGGAGTATGAATAACACCAGGAGGTTCAAGGGTGTGTGGTAAAGAATACATGGAAAAATAGTATAGATATAGCAACAAATACCTTCAACAACAACAACAACAAAAAGTGGAATAGTGAAACAGGGCGAAATAGAAAAATGTGGCTGGAAAAACTGGTGCTAGTGTATCTGTTGACGCTGTTCAACTCACTGGACGGATACTTTCTGGATAACGACAGTCCCTTGACTGGGCGTCACAGGAGAAAAGGTGAGTACGTACGGCACGGAAGCCAGCAGATTGATAAGGTTTAGAAAAATCGTGCAGACATGGGTTATGGGTTCTAGGATGCTTTCGGCATTACTGAAGATTGATGAATGTTTATAGCGATAAATTTATCTAAAGTTACAGCATGGATCTGAATAAATCTGTGAGTCAAGTTGTAGCCTGTACTCATTGCAAGTTATCGCGTTACCAGTAGCCACTGCTGCAAAGTATAAATTTCATTTCCAAAAAAATAGCTGATTTTCACTATCCACCTGATGTCAGTATCATTTTACAGACTGTCAATATCAATGTCGCTCTCCTAAATATCAATGGGCAAATGATATTATAACCGTAACGTAACTAACTGACATTCAAAGTTCGGTAGCAAATGTTTCCCACTTACGCCCTCTAATCGGATACTGATCATCGAAAAACTCATCGGTACTATTGAAACAATGCAATGGTCAAACAAAATAGCTACATCAGTGACGTCAGTCAGCGTTGAGAAAACTGCCATGCAGGTAACTTGAACGTTTTGTGCCAGTACTTGGGCTGGCTGCCATATCAATAAAACTATTTATTTAACCTAATATTAGCACATCTAAATAAATAAATATAAGAGTCAAATACTTAAAATTCATCCATAAGTATATCAACATTGAGAATACATAAATTAAAACTTCACTGCAATCAACCCGACACGAAACTTTGTTGGCTCCATCAGACTTCCACTCAGGCATGGCATAAAAAACTCCATGCAAGCATCCTAATTTGTCACATTACACATTCTATCCCCTCGAGGATCCCGCTGCAGCACGGAAACTAAACCGAAAATATTTCATATCTGCTGGTTCGAAAAGTTCTTCTGTCATCGCTAACATACACTCACACCACGTCACCGCACACATACGGAAAAGCGTTTAAATATTCATTGCATTTCAAAACTTCTCCATCTTGGTGCTCAAAATATATGAACTTTCTTTCCCGCTGTATCCCGCATATTTGCAGAATCCCGGGAGAATCTTATAGTACATGAAGTCGTAAAGTTTCTAATTCGTTTCAATCTAGATACTGCCGGTAGTGGAGCGTCTAGGATCTTCTACATCTCCCTTCGTGCTTGCCCCCACCGGTTCCAATTCCTCCGAGGAAAAAAGTTTCCAGCTGCCTTCGGGGAACGCTTTCGGGAGGTGTCTGAAATTGGACCGGTATGTATCTTCTCAGCTATCGGCTTAACTTATTAATTAGGTCTGCTCTGTAGGAGTCGATGAGCAGCAACATCAAACGACCAACCAACCAGTTTCCCGGATAGACTGGAGCCGAGCAGAGGTAGGTTGATTTACTGGAAAATCTATTAGGTCTTGTCTGGCATCGACGGTTGCCGCTAGGGGGGATGATCCCATTTATTGGGAAAAGTATTTTAGACCGAGGCCCGGTAGAATTTTGATTGAAATGCTGGAAATTTTACTTTACTCTTGCCTATTTCAAGGTTCTAACTAATTTAAGCCTAATTGGATTGGTTTTGCGATGAGGATAATTGGATTTACGCATGTATTTAGAAGAATAATCTTACACATGATACCTTTTAACTGATGATTTCTGCTTCTCGCGATTCCGTTTGAATGTTCGCATCTCTATGAACATGATTCGATAGTTTATGATGTCCAATGTTTCGTCTTCCCTGTTAGAAAAAAATATATAATAATAGCCGATTTTCCTATTGCAAATCTACATTAAATTAAAAATTCTGATGAATGTGAGCGAAGGGTTACTAATTTCTATTTAATTCCACTATTTCAATTGGTTATAAATTGACATTAGTAATGCTTCTCCCTATATTTATAAAAAAATAAGTAGAAATCAAAATGATTTCAAATTTTGTATCAACCAGAGATTTTTCAGACAACCAGTTCCAATTCAAAAAGAATTGTAAGAGCCCAAGCAGCAGAAGAAGAAAAAGAAGAAGAAAAGGATAGAACCGCCAGTGAACAAACACTCACTCACGTACACTTACACAATCGTATCGAGATCCCCGCTCAGGAAGTCGCCTATCCTCTGCCGGGTGTGATAGGATGCCATCGGTGCCATCAGAATTTCCCGTTGCTCGCGTAAGCACTCGTTTTCATTTTGCAGCTGGGAAATTACCTCCAATTGCTTTCGGTACGTGAACCGCTGCACTTCCGTTTCGGCCATTAACCGTTCAATCAACGACCTCAGCTCGGTGTTTTCCCGTTCCAGCTGTTCAATGCGGATGCCAGCAGCATGGGGCGTGTCCCTGTGGTATTGGTGGTTTTTCTGCAGCAAGTAAACACCGGACGGAAAGAAGCTCTCCGGAAGCGACTCAGCTGTTCTCGGGCGATCACGTGCTTCCCTTATGACATGTGCGGTTAGGTCTTGCTGAGAATGCGTTGGGAAAATGTATGGCAATCATCGGAATACGTTATTCATAATCAATAAAACTGTTATCTTACCGAACGGGAGCGGAATAAACCGGGACGGCATCTCACTGGTAGAATAGGTTTCCTTTCGACAAGCCAGGAAATAGATTTCGGAACATTGGAATCAACTACGGCAGTGATTGGTTTAACTGTTACTTCGGAACGAATTTTGTCAACACTCATGATGTTTGTTGTGTCTTATTTGTCGCCATGGTTATGTCGCTGTCGACTTGGACTGTGATTTATGTCACAACATAGAATCAAGAACAGATGTCTGTCTCGAGACTTTCGACTTCCATCGTCCTTCTTCTTCGTCCTTGAAGATTATATCGATATCGATACTTCATTGTCTGACAGGCTTCATATCACTCTCGTCTCCGTAGGGCATCAATCAACCCTAATGCCCTTAGATTCCACTTCAGCAACAACGATAATGAAAGGCTTTGAACTCTGCGCTCCAGACAACTTGTCAGTCAAGATGATGACAAATTTGCCTCAACCGGGATCGAAAGCTATCGACCCGAGTTGGCAATCTGCAAACGGAAAAAGAGTTTGGTAATGGTTCATACATTAAATCGTTCTCGGAAAGACGTGATTTTGGCAATGTGGCTTAGTTATATGGAAAAGAGCTTCAGAGCACGTGTGTTTGCAAAAAAAAAACCATGCCTACTCAATGTAAGCGAGGGTTGAAAGATAAAGTTTCCCTTTGGAGAACATATTGCACACCTTTACGCACGGGGAAATGGGTGGGTAGCAAAAAGAGCACGCAGTCAATGCAGTCTTGTGGTTGTGAATTCAGAGGTATTCTCGGCAGCAACGTGATGTAACGATGCCGAACTTGGTTGCGGATTTCTTCGTGCCACCAGGGTTGAATTTTGAGTTTGCTGATAATTCGCTTGAGAAAAAAATGACGCGTTTTGTAAGACTGAAAGTCGCTTGTTAGCGACCTGTTGGTAATGCAATTTGATGTTTATTTATTTTTGATTATTTTTATATATCACTGACATGCAATTCAAATCAAATCAAATCGAATTGAATTTCACGATCGTATAAAAAATGATTATAACTAAAACTGCAATAACCTCACTTTTGTATTAATTTCTTATTGCAAACCATGCCGTATACTTTTTAAAGCTTTATTTGAGAGATTTGTAGTCAAATGCCGTATATTAGCTGCGGAACTATAACAGATTTCGTAGAGTCAGTGATGCAAAATATCATGACTCTCACGTGACACTCGTCTACGCATCTACCGACTATCGCTGACAGAACGTTTTGTCACGCAGTGAGAGGTAGAGCCATTGCAAAGAATAATCACCAGTAATGGTCACTGCTCACTAGCAAAATATTACACTCGCTGCTGATGATGAAAAGCACAACGAAAACAGTGAAGACTTCTGCAGTACGATCATGAGAAAAGCGAAACGACAGAAGAAAATGAAAACAATGCCTACGCATTCCAAGTTCGTCTTGGCAGGCGCGACTGTGTGAGTTACAAACAAAGCAGGCAACATTAAACGGAAGCTGTTGGGCTCACTTACCAACACACTCACATAAACAAGCAAAGCAGCAATTGCTTCAAAACGAGCACAGATGAGTGTCGTGATTGTCGGGAATGACCAGATCGGTGATGGATCACAACCGAAGACGACATTCACCAGTTGCTTTTTACTTCTTTCGTCAACTTAATGGATGGTCATGGAGAGAGCTACCATCAACTGTTTGACGATCGTGATTGTGATAGGTCGCAACTCTGCGTAGAGTTTTGATTTCAGGCAAAATTTGTTTCCTGCAGACAATGCCTCGTACAAACAAAGTACCTCCATAATGCAACGTGTGATACTATGGCAAAATAAAATTTAAATTATGGGTTCCCTGTAAAGGTCAAAGTTTCTCAAATAAGGAAAATGGTTTTTTTTTTTCAAAATTAATAAATCTTAACAATACAAAACGGCTACTTAATTTAAAAAATATAGAAATAACAATCAAGTAATTGCTGTTGATAATGCATAACTCTTAAGTGTTTAGATAGGCTGATATCCATCGAATACAGCAATTTAACTCAACTCGTAACCTGTCAATTGCCCTCGCAAATTAATTTAACAGAAATTCACACCCAAATTGAGCGGCGCCGGTGGTGTAGTGGTAAGCGTGATTACCTCTCACCCCAGCAGGCCTGGGTTCAATCCCAGTCGGCGCCGCCGGGATGTTCTGAAGCATAACATCTCTGATCACGCCTTCCTTCGGAAGGGAAGTAAGCCGTTGGTCCCCGGTTCATGAGTTGATGGGTCGATAGGTAGGGTCCAGGTGTGGGAGCTGCCTTCCTGGCGTCGTTAGCATTGGTGCTCAGCACGGAAAACAAGATCGACGGACAAGAAACCTAGGATAAAAAAAAAACACCCAAATTGAAAATAAGGAATTAATATTACATTCTTGGGAGCATACCAGCAGTGAGCCTATGGAGCATTTCTTGTTGATTAACTTGACTCTTAGTCTTAGTCATTCTGGAATGTACTGAGTATAAAATTTACGTAATCAAGTTCATCATTACCCAGAATGATGAGAGGTTGTCTAAGATTGACTAGAGAAATAAACATCGGACTTGGAAATATTGAGAGGCAATAGATTTCGTATTTATTATTTTGTTGCAGAATATCTGATAAATTTAAGTCTCAAATCTACAATTACAGGATAATTTGACAAGAATTGAGTTTTGTACATATAGGAGAAGATGAATATTTGTTGAAATCCTGAAAAATGAGTCTAAGGTGTGACACAGTTATATTCCATGTAATTCAATAAATATCAACAGGAGGTTAAATTCATTTCAATAACTGTTTATCATCATAAACAATGAAAATAAACACTTTGTTCAATACATATACTTTAAGTCTTTTATAAGCTTTGTTTACCTAAGCTACCATATTACTAAATCACTATTTTAAATTGGACATATTTTTTAGACTAAAGCGCTTCCAATTGCATTAATACATGGGGTGTGTTGTGTCTGAAAAAGTTTTTTAAGAGATTTCTATATATCTGAAACACATTTGGCTCTATAATTGTTCTTCTGAGATCAAATTGATTATTTTTATGAAGATCGTTTCTCGGTTACATTTAGGAGCCACCTTAAGTTATCGATTTTCTTTTGATGTAGATTACTAGAAATGATTATGGATATAAAAACATGCCTTAAAACGAACCAGAAATAGCGGCTTCTTACTCCAAAGGGCCTGTGTTCAATCCCACTCGGCACCGTTGGGAATTGCAGAGGCCATTTTTTTTAATGCCCTCCACTAACCACCACACCAAGGAGCTCGCACAGAGAGCCCCCTGGTAATGGACACTTACTAAAAAAAAAACAAAGAAAACGCGGAGCGTGATTAAAAACAATGTAAATCCCAGTGGAACATAGTTCCTTTGAAGGGATTCACATACTCAACAGAAAATTCTAAATAATTTATAGAGTGATAACGTTTGTGGCTTAACATAAAAAATTGAACTTATTAAATTATACTATAATTAATGATGCAGGAAAAATATAGCAGGTTCCAGAAAAATCTACATATGCAAATGGTAGACACTTTTAGAGAATATATTCATTTACGTTCATAATTATATACTGCTTCAGCTTGCTTTAGAAGATAATTTTGTTCATTATTGCTTTCAAGTCGATGGGAAGTATATTGAACTTTAATGGACCGTAGTTTGTGATGCGACCTAGACCCAAGTTCGTGCATGCTCTGGTTCTCAGTAACTCATTTACATGTCTAGTTCTCTGAAGGTTAACTATAGTCGAAAAAAAACAATGTTGAGATGGAAATTACGGTTATGTAACGTGTTGTGCACATTCAAAATTGTTTGAGAATCGCGCAAGCCTAGAATGGGGATAATTCTGTGGCATGAACTAGTATAAAGCAAAACTGTTGAGAATAAGGGAGGTAAATTAAAAATTACTTTCTCACATCTATTCTGCAACGTTTGAATTTTTTAAGTTTTGATTTAGCAGCATGACCCCAAACGTTGATTAGGTATTAAAGTATGGAATGAATACACGCGTAATAAAATCACAGCAATGATTCATTGGGCACAAAACAGCGTACTCTTTTCATGAGGCCACATAAAGACGAAACTTTGCTAGATACATGCTTTAAGTGAGTGTCCCATAAAAGACAAGAATCTGAGTGCAACCCTAAGTATTTAAATGGTTCAACTTTTTCAATGCACAAATTTCCGACACATGGATCGGGGTATTGCGAGATTTTTTTCCGTGACGAGTGGAAAACCATGTACTTTGTTTTCGTCAGATTCAGAGAAAGGCGATTGCCGTTAAAATATTCTGTAAGACTCGCCAGATCTGATTCGATGTCATTAACAATGGATTGTATACAAGAACGAGGATAGAATAAAGCCGTGTCGTCTGCAAAAAGTCTTGGTGTTCCAAGAAGTTTTAAATTTCCCAAATCGTTGATATATATCAAAAACAGCAAAGGACCTATGTTACTTCCTTGAGGAACTCCAATATTAACCGGGCGTAAACTACTACAAACACCATTTATTGCTACAAATTGTTTTCGATCTGAGAGATAGCTTTTTATCAAATCGTTGGCAACTCCTCTAATCCCGTATCGATCAAGTTTCTTCAGAAGAATTTCGTGGTTAATGGTATCATATGCTTTTTTTAGATCAATGAATAAGCCCCCAACAATCTTTATTCGGTCAACATCACAGATCAACGCATCAATAAGCTCGGTAATAGCAGTCATTGTTCCACAGCCTTCCCGAAAGCCGTACTGGAATTTATACAGAACATTATTAGAACAC